AGAACACGTGGGAGGTCCTCGGCGGATTTTGCGCGGCTGACAGCTACGGAGAGAGATCCTGCATCTTCGGTGGCCATTGCTGCGCCTTGGGCCAAGAATTGAAGCATGGCATGCGCGTTATCTCCCATCAAGACAACGCGGCCAGACTTGCTTGCCCAGCGTGGAAGGCGAGGGACTTCGGCCAGCCTCCACTTGCCGACTTTCCTTCGTGTGGTGCAGGATGCGCTTGACAATGGGATTCCATTCTTGATATTCTTCCTCAGCTTGGCTAACTGTGGCGGCACGGCTCCATTCCATGGCCTGGTCTCCGATTTCGTTGTGGTTGGCAGGATGCGTGGCACCGAGGGTGTACATGCCGCCTGCGCACGGGTAAATGATGACATGGCGATTGTAGCCGGCCCAGACATTCGTAGCAATCTCCTTGAAGATGGGAGCTGTGATAGGATCTGACATAAGATCGTCGTGGTGAACATAGGCTCTAAAGGCTGACAGGGGGTTAAGGTTCATAGAGGTGTCCTCCTCCGGAATGATGTCGTTCCTCAATTTGGACTTGATGCCTAGGGGACCTATCAGCAACCTCTTATCACCAAGAACTTGAGAACCTACCATCCGATAAAACCACAAGATCGGCTGTCAGCACTTCCCCCCCTAGCAAAGCTACGGACGGTTCCTGCTCATTGACAGTCTCAACGCGGGCATTCAGGCGAAGTTTTGCTCCTGCCTCGATCATGGCATCATATAGATGCCGTTGATAATGAGATCGACGCATGCTCCAATACGGTGGCGTCCCTTGCTGCTGCTTTCCTGCCTGTACAGTTGCAATGACCTTGTTGTCATTCCATCTACGAAAGACAAATTTGGTAGGATGAATGGCGTCGTCAGTCATTCTTTCAAGGATGCCGAAGTGTTTGAGTACGAGAGCCGCGTTGGGCGGAATATGGATCCCGACACCAATGGGCGTGAGTTCTTTAGCAGACTCAAGGATGGTGACGTCGTGGCCCTGCTGTGCGAGACCGATCGCAGCACAAAGACCTGCGATACCAGCACCTACGATTATGATTCTGAAGGGCATTTTGGATGCGTTGGGGTTCTGTCTCAATCTGCTGAGTTGTAGTCGTCAAGAGTAGCCGCCTCAAAGCATGACTAGGTATTCCGAACGGTTGAAGAGAAGCAGACGTCTTTTTATATATTCAGCTCACTCTTCGCGGTTAGCGGCCGGGAAGTGGCCTTCCGTCTGTTAACGTTGTTGGTCTCGAGGCCTAAATGTTGTTACAAATCGGGTTGGAAAAGCCCAACCGTTGCCCATCTTGCCGTTTACATCTATGCATGGGAAAAATTGGTCATCAAGTGTCCGCAGACTTCATGGATCAATGGCCGAGTGTCTGTTCGCCGAGGCGAGGGGCCTTGGTGTTGGATGGAGAAACCAACTC